TATATATATATATATATATATATTAGTTATAGACGATGCTGGATTAGTAATAAGAACTGGTAAGTTACTAGTGTCCTCAACAAGGTCTCTCAGATTTGAAGGGTGTCTTCTCCCAACAGCAATTTTGAGATCTCTCCATAATTGTTCAATCGGATTCAGATCCGATAGTGCAAAACTATCATTGAACTCATTTACTATATCAATGTCGTTTTCAATTATAAGACCCTTACTATCCTGCAGATTAGTAATTTCAGCTTTTAGAGCTCTTTTAGAGTTAAAATACTGGAAGAAACTTAACATCATCCTTAACCTCCAATGCAATATTCCTTTCGACATTCCTTTTAGCTCATCTAATGTCATTTTTTAACTTTTAACTGTAGATTTAGATACTCTTGCTTTATTCTGTCATCATCAGTTATTTCCATTTCTGGAACAATTTTATACTTTATTTCCCTAGTAAATTGCAATTTCCTAGATTTATTCTTGCTGGAAACAGGTATGAAGTCCACTTGCACTTGCAATAATGTGCTTTTAAAAAATTCCCATGCCTCTTCAACAGTTTTGTTATTTAACTCCATCCAGTTCACAGTTTCTAGTTTTAATCTCATACAATTGAAGTTAGCCTTCCTAACTTTATATATTTTTGATTTGGAATTTGCTCTTCGGGCACTAAACTTAACCTCAAATTTAACCATGTTATGATCGCTACTGTCAAGTGGTTCTAAAACGTCTAATTTACCAATCCTGTCCTGGTTATTAGAAAAAAAATTCTAGGTGAAATGGTGCATTTTCTGAAAAAAATCTAGAGGTGCTGATAATTTCGGCCATGACTATAAATCCACCACAAGTACAAACGAATAATCTCAACCTAAACAAATATGTATATCTCGCTGATGGGCAACAGCATGGAAACTGATCACGCCATCTTGCCGCTCCAGTGCAGTCGTAACTGCTAAGCACAGCCCAGTACAATTTCTGGTTTGACAAGGAGGGTGTCAATCCTTATTCTCCTGACATCACCAAAGACACGTGCTCTCTACGGGCACGTAACAAAACAATCAGTCAATCGTTAATTTTTATAAATTAAAATATTGGGACCCCAAACTAATATTTTGTGGCTCATGGTGGCAATAACAGCAATCAAATGCTTTCTCCAGCTCTGAATGAGAGCTTGCCCCACTTGTCCTGAGCAAACTGCTTCAGTTTTCTTAGTTTTATGGGCTCCTTCTACCAACTGTGACTTTCAGCTCTTTCTGCAGATGTTCAATTGGATTCAGAACAGGATACTTCACACCAGTCCAATGTTTCCTTTTCAGCCATTCTTGGGTGCTCTTAGATGTTTTGGGTCATTAGCCTGCTGGAGGACCAATGACCTGTGACAGAGACAGAGCTTTCTAACCCTGGGCAAGATTTTTAAATCCAGAATGCCTGGACAATTTTTTGATTTTTTCGTGGCACCCAATGCCAAAGGCAACACAGCAGCCCCATAACATTACTGAGCCTCCATCCGGTTTCACATGGATGGTACTGTTATCTTTGAAAGCTTTGTTACATCTTCTGTGAACAAACAGAAGATCTGCTTGTGAGTTACCATAAAGCTCAAATTTTGTTTCATCTGTCCAAAGGACATTCCCTAGGACTGTCTTATCAGTATACATTTTAAGAAACACCTGTTGGGTCTTTCTGGGTCTTCTACCATGGAACCCACATGGAAACAGATGGATGATGTGACATTACAACCTTCATCTTGACTATGCTTGGCCATTACCATCTTCCTTTCCTCCTCAGACAGCTCTCTGCATTTCCTTCTCTTGTCCATGATGCACACCATGACAGAAATTGTCACAATGCCAGGACAAAGGATGCGGGGACAGGCAAGGTTATAAAGCAAAAGGGTTTTTTTTATTAAACTCAAAAGGACAACAGCTAGAAACGAACACGATCTCAGGGGATTAAAATAGGAGGAAAAGAGGAAGACTGGGCATAGGCAACACAAGAACACAACCTCAGTGACAGAACTGGAAAACACAACACTGGGAAGCACTTTTATACAAGACTGATGAGAGAGCAAACGAGAGGCAGCTGGAGTGATTAACACAAGGGTAGGAAGGAGAGGAAAGACAAATGAGGAACATGTGTGGCACATTGGGGCCATGCTAGGGGGGAAACAGGAGCGTCAAATGGCCAGGAAACAGGAGTGTCAGATGGGCAGGGTGAGACCAACAGCTGAGTAAGCGCTTTTCTCCATTCAGATAGGCTGAATCACTGATTGTAAGGTTGAAGACAACCAGGCCTGCCAATGAAAGTGATTATACACACACAGAGACACACACACACACACATGTAAACAGGTAATAGGGCACATATGTATGTGTGTATATATGTATGTATGTGTGTGTAAAAAAAATGTGTTTTTTGGTCTAGAGTTTGATTATTTCCTTGTGTGGTTTCCTCTTGCAGTTCAAAAACATACAGTTAGCTCTGTATCTCAAAAGTTCCCATGGTGTCTGTGAATGTGTGTCCTGTAATGGACTGACAATTGTCCTTTGGAAATATGGTATTTATATACATAAATGAATACACACACACTCACACAAACACATTCATGAGAAATTTCATACCAAAGTCCTGTTTAGGGTATCCCTTTTATATTTAATTTTATACTAGTTGTAAATACAGTATATTCATAAGATGTATAAAATCAATGTGTAAAAACCATTTGGGAAAGTACTAGACACATTAACAAACATATCACACGAAGTTGCAGTACAAAAGTGTGATGTAGTTCACCTTGGTTGTGCACCTGAAAAGATTACTTGGCTTTTTTATTTGATTATTCTTCTACAAGTAGTTGACAGACGCACAGAGCACAGCACGGAAACCTACACATGGAACGCAAACTGCATAATACTATAATCTTTTAAAATACTATTACTTCAATTGCTATCACACTGGACTCCTTCAGCACAACCATGGAGGCACTAGCATGATCATCACAGAGGAACTGTATGTAAACAGGCATAGAGGCAAGGCAAGTGTCAAACAGGTAAGGCCTAAGCAAAGTGAAGAGGAGAACATCACAGCATCAGCACAGGTGTCTTCCTAGACCAGTCAGTCCATTAATGGGTGGCAAACCCTGATAACAGTCTTTCCTAAACTGGTTCCACCATACAGTCCATGCTTTTGCTTACTGGGAGCTGGGAGAGAGCAAAAATGTGGACTGTCTGAAAGGGAGCAAAAATCTGGACTATCTGGGGGTCCTTGAGCACTGGGTCGGGAAACACTGCGTTAGAAAACAGAGGGATCCTCATCTTGCCCAACGCTGTTGTTGTGGCTGGGGGCTGAGCATAACCGTTGTCCTCGCTGCAGGAGCTCGCTGACAGAGGAGCGGGTGGTGCTACGCCGGCGACACACGTCATCCAGGTCCTCCACCAGCACGGATTCCATCACCTTGCTCAGAGACTGCCGGATCTTGGCCATGAAGTCGGGGCAGCTGAACACATAGAGCACGGGATTGAGCACGCTGTTGATGAAGGCTAGGCTGGCCGCCACGGGCATCCCCCGGGCCACGAATTGCCGCAGCTCAGGCCGGTAATGTGCTATTGCCTCCAACAGGCAGAAAAGGTGGTAGGGTGCCCAGCAGAGCACGAAGCTCACCACTACTGCCACCACTAGGCGGAAGAAGCGGTAGGTCCGGCGCCGGCCACGCCGAGTGATACTGGAACTGACAGTCACATAACTCCCCACAATGGCCACCAAAGGAAGCAGGAAGGCAATGATGAATTTGCTGCTGGCTGTGGCATCCTGCCAGATTCCACAATCCTCCGTGGAATTTCCTTCCCTTGCGAACTGCATGAAGTTGTAATAACACATGATTCGGTCATCCTGCCGCTTAATGGTACCTCGGAACAGGTAATAGGGCACAGTGTTGAGGAATGCCAAGATCCAGAGGCTAATGCACACCACCACTGCCATCCGCACATCCCGGAAATTCTGAGCCCAGACAGGTCGCAGACACACCAGGCAGCGGTCCAGACTGATGGTGGCCAGCAGAAAGCCGCTGACAAACATATTCAGGAAGAAGATGGCAGAATGGATTTTGCAGAAGATGGGTCCCATATTCCAGGTGCTGCCCTGGGCTAAGTAGTAGGTGAAGATGGGCAGGGAGGCAGTGGCAAGCAGGTCAGACACAGCCAAGTTGAGGATCCAGATGCTAAGGACTGAATATGGAACATGGAAGCCAATGACCCATAGAATGAGAAGGTTCTCAAAAATTCCGAAGGCTGAGACCAGGCCATGGATACTCACTGTAACCATATTAACCTGCTTCACTGTTTCATTGGACTTCACCATATCTTGGATGAGTGGACAATATGTGTCTGACATTTTTTGCTTCTATAATACCCTTGGCACTGCTGGCACTTCAGCTTTTAACCTGGAGGCATAGGGAGAAATCAGCAGTAATCAGAAATTATGAAACACACACACACACACGCAACTCTGGAAAGCAGAGTTATATGCACGAATTTCAATTTCTTTCTACCAAAATAAATTCTTACTAACATGTTATAAGATGTATGAATAAGAGCTGACTTGAGGCATTAGGAAGGAGAAGACATCAGTGTGAAGCCTTCTGCTTAAATCGAAGTTAAAAAAACACCCGGGAAACCTTCACCAAAGAGTCCTTCTCCACCACAACAATGCTCTTGCTCACTCATAATCATATTTGTTTAAATACTCACTGTTACCATTTCTGTATGCTTGTCCCACAGTATTTTAATATTCAGGGCTCGATTTCAGGGTGGCGCAGTGGTTAGCACTCTTGCCTCACACCTCTGGGACCAGCATATGATTCTCTGCTATAGCTCCGTGTGTGGAATTTGCATGTTCTCCCCGTGTCATTGTGGGGTTTCCTCTGGGCTCTCTGGTTTCCCCCCACAGTCCAAAAACATGCTGAGGTTAGTTGGAGTTACCAAATTGCCTGTAGCGGTACATGTGTGAGTGTGCCCTGTGACGGTTTGGCGCCCCATCCCAAGTTGTTCCCTGCCTTCTACCCATAGGCTCCAGACCCCCTGTGACCCTGAATAGGACAAGCAGTTACAGAAAATGCTAAGCGCTGAAGCTTCTTGATTACAGACTTCCAATAAATTTAATTTTAGTTCAGTATTATCCTGACAGCCCACTCATGCACAATGACAGACATTATATTGAGTTTTGCTGGCATAGGCAGGGAAGTTCTCATTTGGGCAGAGTTGTTTCGTATATATATATGGTCCTTCTCTGAGCCATTGCAGTGTAAACAATACACTCCCTCAGGCAATACTCATTCCCATATAAGATTTCAGATGAAGATCACACCAATGATGGGAGAGATACTATGCCAGAGTTGTGTTACTTGAGTTCAGAGTACATGCACAAACACTTCTGAGTTTAAAAACTTTCCCGTGTCCATATCATATGTCTACAGCCTGTATGCAACTGTAGGACCCCCCACAGCTCTCCATTTCATATATGAGCTTCAATGTTTTTCACCAAAACATCCAGTAAAGAGAAGCACACTGTGGACTGGAATTTATTGATTATAATGGTTTCCTGTAATTATGTAATTGCTATTGATTGACAGTACTGCATGGTGGCTTAGAGGATGGCACTAAGGCCTCAGAAGGATGTGGGTTTCATTCTTGATAAAAACACATGGACTTCTCTGTAGGTTCTGGTTTGTTTCTTCTCCTTGCCCAATGAATTTTTCAAGTCCTCACAAAGATCTGTGAATGCAATCAAAAAAACTAAAGATATTTTGTTTGGTTACTTAAGGTTAAGGCTGGGTAGGGGTTAATGACATCATGTTGGGATTAGAATTTTCCCCATAGAAATGAATGGAGAGTCCCCACAAAGATATAATTACAAGCCTGTGTGTGTGTGTGTCTGTCTGTATGCAGTGTTGAGAAGGTTAATTTTATAATGCAATAGGATACAGATTACTAGTTACCATATTAAAGATGTAATATGTAATGTACCTATGTTGATTACTTCATTACTTGATAACATGTCTAAAATATGTTTGCAATACAACTAAAAATTCTAATACAATATGCAGTAAAAGTCAAAAGTATACTTTTTGTATGGGATTTCTTTTCAATTCTGATCGAACTCTGACATCTGGAACTATTACTGGGACCTTATCTTTGTGATATGGGGTATTATCCACTTGCAGACTTGATACACTGCGACCAGGCTGCTACCAGGCTGCTACCAGGTTGCGACCAGGCTTCAATAGTAACATATGACATGATGGATGAACAGACTCATGTGGTTCTACAAAATTTACAAAATCTATTTCACCCATCAGTGTACATCAGTTTTCATCCCTTAACCCAGAGGAACCAGAGTCTTGTTGTTTACTGAAAGAATTTGAAATCTGTTAAGATCGTTGGCTACCAAACCCCATTCAAGTCAAAGTGGTATATTACAGTATGGATCATTTAGCACCATTGTTGGGCTGGACTGTCAGTTGATTAACTTAAGACCAGCTGTAGATCTACACAACTCATATCAGCCTCTGTTCAGCACATTCATCAATGAATAATTTTTAACACCGGCTTGCAGTTGGCTGGATGTCTTAGTTGGTGAATTTCTGCAGATACAAACATACAGATACAATGCTGAGCTTGAAAAATACACCAGTTTTGAATTTCTGTTCAATCTTGAATGTCAACATTCTACAAATGGTCTCCTCATCTATAACACACAAAAATGGATTTAACGACCTAAGGAAGTTTAAGGATCTTAAACTTCACCCAAATTCAACTGGCCAGGCAATTTCAAGAAAATGGTAGAAATCCCAGGCCTATATCTTGAGACCCCCAACCTAGACTTAGGCTCTTTGGCAAAATATATTAAGCCAATTGTCACTGATCTGGGGGTCAAGGTAGATGCTGACCTTAAATTTGACTGCCAAATTAGTGCTGTGGTCAAATCTAGCTTTTTCGAGTTGAGGCAGTTGGCTAAAATAAAGCCAATTCTTTCCAAGCAGCATTTTGAGACTGTAATCCATGCCTTTATTCCCACTCGGCTTGATTACTGCGATGCGCTTTACATAGGGGTAGGTGCATCCTATATTACTCAGCTTCAAAGGGTGCAAAGTGCTGCTGCGTGCCTTCTGACAGGCACACGGAAATATGAGCACATTTCGCCTGTTTTATCCATGCTCCACTGGTTGCCTGTACATTTTAGGATTCAATTTAAAATTCTTTTATTTGCTTTTAAGGCTCTTAATGGTCTTACCCCTCCCTACCTCTTTCAGTTGTTACACCCTTACGTACCCTCCCGGTCTCTCAGGTCAACTGGCCAGCTGCTCCTGAGTGTGCCAATAACTAAGCGTAAGCATAGAGGGGACCGCGCTTTCGCTGCTGCAGCTCCTACAATGTGGAATGACCTGCCCTTGATGGTAGACAGGCTTCTTCTCTGTCTGTTTTTAAATCCCGCCTGAAAACCCATCTCTTTTCTTTGGCTTTCGATCCCTTGTGATTTTTTTTATTTGATGGTATATCATCTTATTTTGTATATGTGCTTATTTTATTAACTCTTATTTACATAATTTTAATTGTTTCATTTTAAATTCTCTGCACAGCACTTTGGTCCTGTGTGGTTGTTTTAAAGTGCTTTATAAATGAAGTTGGTATGGTATATCTTGTGGAGACCTGTGTGTAGTATTTTGTTATTATTATATAATATTATTATAATATTTTATATCATAAGGAAATAAGGTGAGAATCCAGTTGCCTCGTTTGTAGTGCAATTATAAGCATGCACTAGAAGAGTGACGCGCTGACTCCATTTGGACTTTTGACTAGGTTCTAGCATTCCCAACATATCTAGCAAGGTCCGATTGAACCTCTCTGGCTGGGGATCGCCTTGGGGGTGATACGGTGAAGTCCGTGATTTCTTCACATCCAACATCGTCAGCATCTCTTTTACCAATAGGCTTTCAAAATCTCTCCCTTGATCCGAATGTATACGTGTGGGGAGACCATAATGGACAAAGTATTTTTCCCACAATGTCTTCGCTATTGTCACGGCTTTCTGGTCTCTCGTGGGAAAAGCCTGTGCATATCGGGTGAAATGGTCTGTAATGACTAATACATTACACACATTCCTGGAGTCCGGTTCAATGGTAAGGAAGTCAATGCACACTAGATCCAAGGGTCCCGAGCTGTGCATATGAGAGAGCGGTGCAGCCTTCTGTGGCAAAGTCTTCCTTTTTATGCAGCGCTCACATAGCTTGCAGTACTTTTCAATATCAAGCTTCATACGTGGCCAAAAAAATCTGTCACGAGCAAGTGCATAGGTCTTTTCAAACCTTAGATGTCCATTTTGATCATGAAGAAATTTCAGAACATCATTATGAAACTGTCTAGGGAGCACAAGTTGTCGTCTTACTCGCTGATCGGAAAATTTAACGGTTCGATATAACAAACCACGATCAACTTTCAACTTCTCCCATTCTCTCTTTAAAACCCTAATATCTGGGTGGTTACTTAGCAAGATACCAGCAGGTTTTGCTTGAAACACAGCTAACCACACTTCTCCAATACAAGAATCACTCTTTTGAGCAGCTTGGAGGTCACTAGAACTGAACCTAGGAAACTGCTCAGACGTTACAGCAGTAGTTTGACAGTAAACATTTGGAACAGCAAACATTTGTGCTTCACCCTGCATGCCGCATGGATGAAATGAAAAATTATCTTTCTTCCTTACTGACACGCCCTAGCAAAGAGCTCGCACCACTGGGGCGGAAATTTCTTGCCACTCACCATCCGATGATAAACTGGTGTGTGGGCACCGAGAAAGAGAGTCTACATCGATGTTCTTACACCCTGGCCTATACTTCAAACTAAAGTTGTAAGTGGACAGCGCAGAGAGCCATCGGTGCCCAGTAGCATCTAGCTTTGCCGATGTTGTGATGTGGGTCAAAGGATTGTTATCCGTCTTCACTTCAAAAGTGGGGCAACGTGTAGTCTGTCAACAACAGCCCACTTCAACGCTAAAAACTCTAGTTTATGCGCTGGATAGTTTTTCTCAGGTGGTGATAGGCTGCGACTGATGAATGCAACAGGGTGTAAGCCATCACCATGATTCTGATACAGAATGCCTCCAAGCCCGCCCAGACTGGCATCCACATGTAGAACATATGGCCTCTTATAGTCTGCAAAGGCTAACACAGGGGCTTGGGTCAATCGAGTTTTCAACTCTTGGAAAACATTTTCACATACATCACTCCATCTCGAGCCAAAAGGTTCAGAGGGCTTCAAGTTAATCTTAGACGAGGTGTTACTGTCAGGGTTCTGTTTCTTTGAACCAGAGCAAGAAAAAATTCCACTTAAAAGTTCATTTAGGGGTTGACACAATCGTGAAAAATCTTTGACAAATCGGCGA